CGCGTCCCCGCCGAGCGTCACATTAAACCCACACATCCGCGGCCTCGAAGGGCCGCGGCTCGGTTTTCGGTTAGACTTATGGAAAAATCGATTTTCATAATTGGAATTTGCCAAATCTGAAAAATGCCCCGATAAACCTCGCGGTAGCTTCGCAATTAGCGGGGGGCTGTACTCACGTTGGGGGTGGGAAGAGATACTCGGGCTTTGTATCTTGAATCCTTGTACAGGGGAGACCGAGTTATCGGAATCGACGCGGAGGGTGCGCGTGCCGTGGGACCGTTTAGAGAATCCACCGCTATTTTAAAATCATCCCCCTCGAAAATACAACTTTGCTTCGATTTATAGAAACCGCAGGTAATACGGTAGAGGCGAAGATGCTCCAGCGTGAGGTATTCCGATTATACTTCGGAATGAATTCCAGTTCTGATTCTCCCAAATTGAAGTTCATGTCCGACGAACTCATCGATCCAAAATGTTGTCAAGCGCTGTGTTCATTCAAAAGGTCAAAATGTGCCCTTTTTGTGTCGAATGTGAGTCCCCTTTTTTTTTTCTTCTTCGTTCCAGCTTGTTCACCTATACGGCCGAAATGCCCGAACGGGTGAAGTTTCACGCACAGCCATGGCCAATCGGGGACAGGGAAATGGACCGATTCTCGTTTATCAATATTTCACGAAACGCCCATCCATATCCCGGCTCGGGACGGATGGAGCTTCTCCGCGATCGCTTGTCCGTTTCCGTGGAATTGATTGCGAAAAGAGCTGGGTGCATGCAGGGAATCTTCACGGTTAGCGGATCTTGAGGTGTGTGCGCTCCCAAATGTAATATCGAACGTCAAAATCAACTTTCCATGCATTACCTATTCTGCTGGCGGACAGCCCAGCGCGAGGAATCTGTAACTAGAGTAACTCATTCCGTCCAAGTATCGCTATCGATAACACCGCCCTGAGACAATGACTGTCGGTGAATTCTAATGTGGTCCTCGCTGTGATTTGAGAAGTTCTACTTTCCGTCATGGATAGCTGTCGGCAGCGACTGAGAATATTCCCTGCAAACGTCTATCGGTAATAACGTTTTCCTACATCTTATCACGGAAGTAGGGTTTTTTTTTATCTTATATCACGTGCACACCTTCAGCTGTTTGCTCCTCCCCCGGGGGAAAGGGGGGTACAAAAGTGTGACATTTGAGGTAAATAACAATTTTATATATATTTATATTTACATAATTTTTGTTTCTACTTTAAGTCCTTGGGGCAGTTACTCGTTCTCCAACATTGGAAAATTTACTTTACCACAGGAACGTTGGAGCGGGTTGTCGAGGTAATTATCGGGCTTCATTTTCAATTAATTCATTATTGCGACACCGCTTGCAGTTACTATTGTGCGCGGCTTGTTAATGCCTATATTGAGTGGACAATGTTTCATTGAAACGTAGTTAATAATGATTTCTTTTTAAAGTCACGCTCCACATTTTCGTCTCAAAGTGCTGCAATTATACTCGGCCTGGCTCCAATCTGCGTAGCTTAAACAAAAGTTACATTGATCTTCGAAGAAGTTTGTTTTAAAAAATGTTGATATGAAATTTATTCCTCGAGTATGAGACGGTCGGCCATGCATCGAGTCAATAATTGAGAAATTTAACAGCGATAAGAAACGGTGCAGGTGATTTCCTACTTAGAAGCACGGTAAATCGAGAAAAGCAGACGGTCATAATCGAAAGGCATTAGCGACCTTTGATAAGGTATTAGTTACCTTGGATACAAATTTCTACAGGGCGTTTCGTAGCGGCTCAAAAGTTAAAACCTTCCGAGTTATCCTTCCATATCAGATAATCGATTTATTAGCGACAGACATCCCCTCGCGGAAGACGCGTTGTTCCCGGACCCGCTTTCCGGATCCATCGCAACCAACTCCCAAACAAGGTCACGTTGCCGGCAAGAAACCATTTATCCCGGCGTGGCATCTTCGAGCGAAGTCGAGAAACGCGAAAGTGCCCGACACCGCGGCCAGGATATCAGGGCAAAGTTTGTCACCGACTCGGAGGAGCCGAAGTTCCGCTTGGAATTCCGCGTTCCGCATCCCGAGACCCCTCCCGGTCGACCTAGAATCTCGCATCCAGCTGTTATTCAACGCACAATTGAAAATACAAGGAACGGGATCGTCGGGCAGGCCCGCGCGATGCATATTCATCCGGGCATTGTTCGGGAGCGCGGCCGTGATTGCTGAAATATTTTATTTCTCGCGGCGGGGCCGCGCGTCCAATATTCTTTGCACGTCCGGTCGTGTAATGAACTCGGCTCGCGAGGCTCCGTACCTCGCAATGAGGGTAAACGCGGAAACTGGGCCGGCACTCGAGGAAGACACCTAATCGTCCGGGCGAGTGGCCGCGCCGGCATCTGGCAGGGACTCCCGAGTCCTTCCACCCTCGTCGTCCTTGCCGAGCTTGCGTCGGGAATACTTCTGCCCATAACTAAAATGCATATATACATGAGGCCGGCGTTTATGCGCGGCCCGCAAAATGCGCCGGCGAGGGTGAAAAGCCTGCCGCGAGGTGGAGGGTGGCAACGGAAAGGGGTCGGAGGGGCAGAGGCCCGGGTCCTGCTCCGGGTTCGGGTCAGGGGTCGGGAGGGTCGGAGGCCGATGTGTCATGCGACGCGACGTATGTTTGGCCTGACGAACAAATTTCCATTAGCGCGCGGCTTAACTTCGCGGTAAAGGGTGAGAGACGCCGCTCGGCTCGGGGCCAATCGGCGCGACCCTGTTTTTCGAACGGACAACAAATAACCCCTTGCGCCGATCGAGCCTTCCCAATCGGGAGGGCTGTGCGCTGTCGCGATCCCTTTCAACTTTACCGCGACTCTCGGGGTTACGATCGTCACCCGGCTCGGGGGTGGACGGGGAAACAATTTGTATCGCGAGCCGCGGGTGACTCGTGGTTGGGCTTTTTCTCACCCAAGCGGGAGCTTCCGGACGGGAAATGGTGGGCTTCGATTCGTCCTCCGGATTCCCGACTCGAGCATTTTATTCCTACGCTTCTAGTCGCAGACCTAAATGGGTGTTCAGATAATACGAAGGAGAGTAGCTTCTGTACTAACGATATCTAGAAGTATGATTATAAATTTTCTTAAACCATATTTACATGTTGTATTTCATTGTTTCCTGTACCTGTCAAATGGGTTTTTTATCCCGCCGACAGGTACGAGTTCCCTTAAGCGCGGAAAAATACAGCTTCCATGCGTCAGCCTTCAGCGTTCAGAGACTTTCAGAAAAGTCACCCCTTTGTAAGTCGGTGAGTTCTTATTTGGGGGATGCGACGTCGATCGCGGCTTCGAGGACGCTTCCGGCTCTCTTTATATGTCTTGCGTTTTTGTAACGGATCGCGCCGTTCCCGTCTGGCGTTCTCCCCGAGCCGGGAACGGAATTGCGGAACGAGTGCTCCCGGTAAAATTGTTCCGCCCTGTTACCGTCGGTGGAAACGCGCATATCACATGCGTATGCAGAAACGATTTATCTCCGAGGTAGTCGTTATTTCAGCGCCCTCGCGTCAGGGCACAAAATTACATTAACATAAACACGCGGCGTCGTCGGCGTCGGGCGCATGCATCAAAAGTATAGGCGTCGTTCTATCTATCTATCCTGACCGATAGTGCGCCGCTTTATTTACGGCGCTATCAGCGTACCGACGACGCGACCGCTTTTACCGGCTGTCATCGGCCCTGGAGATACCGGCCAGCCCGAGAGATTACTTCGCTATTTATTCGGAATACCGCCCCGACATTTCATCCCCCGTCATCGACCACCTAACGCACGTCGCGTAATTCTTTTACGGAGATGGTGCGGCCGCGTTTGAAAAACTGAAAAATCCTCCACCACGGTGCGAAGGTTGACCTGCAATACTCGTATCAGGTACCTATACGTATTACCAATGTATAGGCGATTACAAAAATGGTGAAGACGGTTTGCACAATGCTATCCCTCTTCGAAATGGGATTGCACAGTCCTGTACTGTTTTTTTCTACCGTGCATAGTTTACCTGTAATAATTAATTAAATATGGCCAATCAGTTGCGTAGATTAATCGAACGCGACTGATATGCGTTCGGTTAATAGATATACCTGATTGGCTATTTTTAAATTAAATAATACAGGTAAACTGTGTTCCGTAGAAAAAAATAGTACCTACGGAACTTTTTGGATCCATTTTACTTCTACACCGCAGATAATACAACGCAGCTGATAGGCGTTCGGCTAATCGACGCACCTGATTGGCTATCTTGAAATTAATTATTATGGGTAAATAACGTCTACAATTTTTAATGGTTTTTATTAAACGCCTCTGATGCGGACTAATTGATAACGTAATGTGAATTTTTTTTCAAGTTCGTGGAAGGATTTGGTTATCTTTTAAAGTACTTTGTATGTTGGAGGAAAAGTGCTGTTTTTATAATTTTAGGAATTTGGTAGGGCTTGAGAGTGATTTATTCCAAATCAATGGGTCATTCGAAACGGTAAGATTCGGTCGGAGTCTCGTGACAGTCTAGAAATTAATAGGAAGAAGTTGCCGAAGGGAACATACATTCAATGGCGGAGTTACTATTTCTGAGTTGCGAAAGTTTCAAGACTCGATAGAGAATAGGGTACCATGTGAAAAGTTCTCCACCGAGGCACGGACAAATTGATCTGCATAGTATTGTCAAATGTACTTATCGAGATACCCGCGTAAGTGAATAGAAAGAAGTGAATAAGGCTTCCGAGACGTAAATTCTGCTATTGGATATATTACAGTTCACATAATTATGTAGGACACGGATTCGTTATCACGTCTCATGGCAGGAAATTAGCGAGTTTCGGTCTGTACCATTTAAATCATTTGAGCGTTAAATTAATTGGAATTCTAGGTCCAAATATTAAGAAACGAAATCTAACAGCATTGCATCGTCGAATTCTACATGTCACCTTACGGGGCACGCGGAAACTTTCAATGTTTTATTTATATGTTTCTAGTGAAAGTTTCGACGTAGTCCTGGATTACCATCAGGGATGCTGAGCCATTTCTCCGTGAACAATAACTACTATAAATCAAGGTCGAGAAATCGCCTGCAGATAGCCGCGTAAGTTAATGAAATTATCCAAAGTCACTCTTTCGCCATCGCGTCGATATTTATTTTAGTCAAGAGCGGGCGCAGTCGCGATAAATCTTGTGGTTTTTCTTTTGCGTTGGGGAGGAAATGTGTAACAGGGGAGGTTTTTGTCGCCCGGTTTATCGGCGCACGCGGCGGGATACATAGACGGATAAAGGGGTGTGGAGGAGGAGAAAGCTTATTCCGTCAGAGCGTGACAGGATGGTGTTTTGTATGTCCCGATAAAAGGTTCGTAATCACCATCCCCCTGTATCGGTAACAAATATCTCCCTAAGGTCGACCCCGAATCTGTACCGACGATTATTCCTACAATTTTACCGCGTATCCTTCATTTCTTCTCTCCTCTCTCCGCCGCATTTGCACGGGGTAATCGCTTTGATTCTATCAATCGTGAAGACCATTACAAGAACAGGAAAGCGAATTTTCCTGTTAACGTTGACTCTAAATCTGACAATTTAATGCGTTTAATTTTATCCGCCTAAAATTAACCAGATCGCGATACTACATTCATGTTACTTCATTGATCGCGTTGTGCCCTAGCCTTTATTTCCATTATTACGCTTCCCTGTTTTCCTGTGCAGGAAAAACAGGAAAGTTTTCCCCGTGCATATCTAATTACCCACTACAAGAGATCGCAGTCACGCTACTCGACGCCTCGACTCGGCTTTTATTACTTAATAAAATGGAGTATTTCTTTCCTCCGCGAGTGTAGGTACATTAAAATGTAATTCTCCATGTCTATTACCTACGAGCCCGTTACAATGCCTCAATAAAAACCTCAGTGGCAAGTAATTAAGCTTCCATTTCTGTTTTTACTTCGAGGCATACCTTCTCAAAAGTGCACAGTTTCCAAATTACCATCTTACGATGAGAAGTCATCGCGAAATCCATTAGAACTCTCGAAATCCATGCTCGGTAATTTTCATAATTTTTAATCAGCCACTCTGAAAAGTGTGCTCTATGTCTACTCACAAGGGAAGTCACGCTGGCCCGATATCGTCGCGTTATTCGATATCCGTCCCCCGATCGGAAAACGATCGTGGAAGGAGCCGCACGTAGGGGCGCGTGAAAGGGAAATCCAACTAGGTGCGTAGAGACATGGTTTATGCAACAAATATAAATTATGCCCTCACTGGGCCGCCGAAAATAATAACCGGCGCTCCGGTACCGCGGCTGCATTTTAACCGCACCCTACCGGGCCATTTGCATCTCATTTTCGCGGGTCATATTCACTTTCATTAACAAAGTGCGAGCGCGACCACCGTACCGGAGATCCATTCTCGTCCATTCTCGCGATTTCGCCCCGGCGCGCCCTCGCGCGGATCTCCCCGGGATCTCTCCGGGATCTCTCCGGGATCTAGGGCGAGAGGAACGCGGATCCACGAGACGTCAGGGATAACGAATCGCGCCGCGAAATTGCGAGGCGTCACATTCTTCGAGCTCTTGCGCGAAAGTCATTTCCGCGGCTTCACCGTGTCCTGGTCCCTCGCGACGCCTCCGAATACTTCCACTGCATATCTTTAGAGGCCGCCATCTTGTTTTTTTATTTTTTTTTTTCTACGAAGGACGTTCCTTCCCCTCCCTGAAAAATCAGTCTATGGCTTGAGAGAGATTATTGTCTTCCTTATTAATTGCAATTTAATCAGCGGTGGAGGTACACGCAGAAGAAGAAATTTAATCCATTGAACGAAATTGCTTGACTCATTTGGTGCTGTTGAAAAAAGTTTTGGTTGGCTGAATCCATTTAGTTGACTTGACCAAACTCATTGGCTTCGGTCAACTCAGCTGTTTTGTTAATTTTAAAAACTGTTTCGATCAATGGACCAGTATTTTTGTCAAGTGTATTGAATTACTGTGATTATTTGGGGGATCTGAAGCAATATTTGATTTGATCAACCAAAGGTTATTAACCAAAGAATTTTACCGTGGTGAATAAATATTTGCTTGTCCTTGTAATAGCCATAAAAACTGTATCGATTCAAGCTAATATTTTTCTGCGGGTAAAGGATATGAAGGGTGAAGGGTAAAGTAATGTTGGATTTGTCTTAAGAATGTATTTAGAAAGATAAATGATTCGTCATTTAATGACGGTTAGGTAATACTTCTGTACGAGTTTTTACATGGTTGAAGTTCGATTCCTCCGAATGTTTTTATTGCGTATATTTGATGTTTGCATTTTTTTAGAATGCTTCTTTCCGATTTAATTCGTTCGAAGTATTCGATTTTTACGGGTAAATAGTTCTTTTGTTAAGACTTATCGACGGTCTGTATCAACTTCAAAGGCAGGTTAAAATAGGAAATTAAGAATTATATAAATAGCGGTATTGTAATTATACTAAATTATAGATGCGCTTTGTACAGGAAGGGATTCATTTAGCAGGTTCTGAATAATCTGGGGTTATTCGGTTCCCATTGAACGTGATAATTAACTGAATTCAATTATGGTCGAACGTTAGCGTCGATTATTGCTTAGTCCTCCAAATATTCAATTTTGTAATCGGTTTAAAGAAGGTATAATACCTACCCTTTACCGCTAGATTTTACAAACGCAACTTAGTTGGTCTTTAAACGACCGAGGATTAATTATCTGATTTTAATTTAAAACGGACGTCGTTAAATTAAGTTTGAGTTCGGCTCGGGAGAGAAGTTTACTTGACGCAATGAAATTTTAAGGTAGGAGTGCAACTGGCTTTGACGGCCTTAATCCGTGTTTCTGTTTTACCCATCGTTTAGTCAGGAGATCACTCTAATAAATGCCTACCGTTCCTTATCGATCGACAGTCACTGGTTCAGGAGGGATGGGTACTTTTAATTGCCCCCAGATATTTTCATAAAGAGATACACTGAAAAAAAATTCCGAACGGAGGCAAAATAAATAAAAGTTCAACAAATTTCTCTCACCTTAGATACATTACCGTCGAAGCTCAATTCTTCGTAATTCTTAAATATTAATTGTAAATTAAATGCGATCAATAATAATGAATTTCGTTGTCATTTAAACCTCATGGTTATTCACCATACGTTGAGGTTTCCCTCCCGAGTTATCACCGAGGTATAGTTCGGCCTAAACACGGTTACAGAAATAAAGAAAAAAATCACCAATATTAAGTTCCATGTACTTCACCGACAAAGCTTGTACTCCTTATTTTTAAATATTAATTACAAAGTCAACGTAATCGCTAATAACGAATTTCGTTGCTGTTTAAACCTTACGGTGGTTATCCACAGGGCGTCGAGATTTCACCCCCCCCGTTTTTACCGAGTGATAACCCGCGTTAACACTTTGTGCGGAGAGATGCAGAGTAAACACGGTTCCCGGGAACTCGGTATTTCCGGCAAGACGTATGAGTTTTGCCCCTGGAATCTCGGACTCGCGAACGCGTATTCCCCGAAGGATATTCTTTCTATGAGGCGAAATCCTGGCAGCCTCCCGCTCCGTCTTCGGCGGATTCGGCGTGCTCTCGAAACGTGCTCGCATATTCACTTCGCTTCTCCGACTTTGCGAGGGATATCATTATTCTTCGGGTCGGTGAGGTTTTTTCTCTGCCTTTTTTTTTTCTGCGTCGATCGTTCCGACATTTGTCACTGTCTACGTTAAAATACGGCGCGCCCCCCTGCGCGATAAAGGCGCGGCGCTACGTCGAGAAATTATCTCCGGGAGAAGATTAAAAATACTGAGACCGCCTCGTGCATCAGAACGCCACGCGAGCAGGAACCCCGGAATCACGGGGGTGTCGTAAAAGTATGACCGCACTGGGGAATTAGTTCCAAGAATTTCGGGATATGTTTTACGGGGTGATAAATAGGGCGGCAAGCTGGTATGCTGCGCCGCCGCCCATTCGGTATATGCGGAATAATTCGGGTTAAATGTACGTCAAATTGAGTGCCGCGAAATATTGCGGTTTCCTTCTACATGGGGTGTGCTCTTGAACGGGGCTGGATATCTTATACAAGTTTGAGATATAATATGTGTAGGATCAAAATTCAAATGCCAGGATTAACATGAACGGTTGATTTATTAATAAAAATTAATATAAAGAAATTGAATACATTGTAGAGTACGTCTTGAAGATCTCAGAAAAAGGGACTTGATTTTCCCTCCGACTTCGCTCGAGCTCTCCTCAGTCAGAACTAACTCCTATTCGATCATTCTCATCCAGCCTCACTCTAATTTCTTTCTCACTCAATTCATATTCCTCGCTCTCTCATTCCCACCCTCATCGATACATTTCTTTGTGCGTCAACATTCTCACTCACTGAGTCATACGGCCGCTCGCACTTCACGAACTCTCAACCACGCATGAACGGTATCACCTATCGAGCTGTCATTTAATCTAAATACTTCTCATTTCACCCCACAATCGTACAAACATTACATTTCACTCTAACTTCTATTTAGTCTTATTCTTAATCTTTATTGCCTTATTGGCGACACAACTATTCGTATAGCTAAACGCTTTCATTTTTTTTATTCTATTAACTTTATTGGACCGCACAGGGCACTGACACTACATATGTGAAATTACTGTTCCCCTGTTGCCGGTTTCGCGAAAAAGGGCAGGTCTCGATGAACGAGGCTCACCTCGTTCTTATTTTTTACCCCCTCTGCTCGTCAAAAAGCTGCAACTTTTCAAATTCATAGTTATGCATATCCCGTGACCATATATGTTGTTTTATATAATTAAAGGAGACTGTAACCACGTCTCGGTAATTACAAGTGCTTTGTAAAGAAAAATTGAAACACTGTCCCTTTTTGTTATCCTCAACAGCATGTGGTAGTTTCCGATTTTGTATGATTTTTATATTTAGGGGTTGTGATGGCTTTCGGCGAGCTGGGTATTATAGGTGTTTCTTATACATTCTAGGCACTTTTTGTCCTAAAGTTTTAACATCTTTTAAGCCTCACAATTTTTATAAGGACTTGAAATGGAGAAAATTCATTTGCCTGCGTGTTACGTGCCACCAGATTTG